TATTTATAACAGGTAACCACTTTGAGTACTTGCATAGTAACAATATCCAAAGCAGTGTCTGTAGTCTTTTTAGCTTTAGAAAAGAGCATTACCTTGGTTTTATCAACATTTAAAAGAAGCTTAAGCTCAGCGAGCTGAGTCTGAATAATGTTAAAAACAGCCTGTAATTTAACACCAGCCTCCTGAATGGAGGGACCTGCACAGTACATCACGGTATCATCCGCATAAAAATGTAAAGTAGCTTCATTCACATTTTCACCTAAACTGTTGATATATATGGAGAATAAAAGTGGACCTAAAACAGAACCTTGAGGAACACCATTAGCAATGTTTAACCACTTAGAAGACAGCCCATCAAAATACACATTGGGACCTTTCAGATAGTTCACAAACCACCCCACTGCATGGCTGGATAAGCCAATACTGAGTAGCCTCTGCTTCAAAATGCGATGATCAACGGTGTCTTTGGAAAGGTCAATAAATAGAGCTGTACAACTCTGCTTATTATCTAAAATACTCGTAATGTCATTCACCACTTTCATTGTCGCAGTGATGGTGCTATGTTGCTTTCTGAAGCCTGACTGGTGTTTAGACAGGATATTATTTTTACATAAAAACTCCTTTACTTGTTCACTGACTAGGCGTTCGAGCACCTTCGCCAGAACTGACAATTTTGAGATTGGCCTATAGTTATTTAAAATAATTGCCTCCCCTCCTTTTAGCAAAGGCAAGACATAAACTGACTTCCATACTTTTGGAATTGCATTTGTGTTGAGGGAGAGGTTAAAAAAAGTAGTGAGAGGAAGAGCAATAAAATCTGCAGCTATCTTTAAAAAGAAAGGTTCTACGTTGTCCGGGCCAGCCGGTTTCTTAGGATCTAGCTTAGATAAGGCTTCATGAACAACATTGACAGTAAAAGGAGTGAAACTGAAAGGGTTTTCCAGACCACATTGTTCAGAGTCTGAACAATAAATGTCCTGCATTAGAAACGTTACTTAAGTAAAAGTAAGTGACTATATCAGCAAAATGTGTAGCATTTAAGCGTAAAAGTACATGCAAAGAAAAAAAGAAACATACCAAATATATAAAAAATTGTTCAAAACAAATAAGTAAATTAACTTTGGCCCTAGACTGAACCACGCCCTATTAGACCCTACACACTACCCCTCCGTTCGCGCGGAGGGTCCGCCACATTAAGTGCTTTTCCAAACCAACGAGTGTGGAGCGGTGTGGAGGGGGAGTGGGCTATCAAGCCATCAGACATCTACATCGGTGCCGACTTGAGACCGGTGTCAACGCTGTGTGTGTCCGTCAGGAAACATGCTGTTTAGAAGTAGTTCAACTTCCAGCAAACATCCACTGATAAATTGCAATGTTAACAACCTCATGATAACCTCTTTTTTTTTTACTTAGGATCATCTGTGTTCAGTCCAGAAAAAGGTAAATGTGTGCATTTTATTATAAAGTTGTGTATATTTACTGACTGTTGCAAAAACTAAGAAGCTTATAAAAATGTCATGCTTTTTTCTGGTTATTACCCGTCCCCTTGTGTGTTATGTAGCTTTTTATGCATGTAAAACCCTCAAAGTACACCCTGTAGCGAGTAAAACTAAAGACCTGTCTATGCTGCCCCAGAACGCCTCGTTTGAGATTTCTCTTTTTCTATGGTTTACTTCTTGGGTATAGTGACGCATTTGGGTATAGTGACGAGCCGTTACGTTTGGACCAATCCGCGGACTTCATCACACACTCGGCGGGACGTTGCGAGGCTCGCTGCTGCGAGGAGCGGGACAGTGTGAGCTGGCTCACTGGTGTGGGGTTGACGAGACAGCGAGACACAGCGGAACTCAGCCTGGGCACACACACAAACTCCCAGCCAGGCTGCGGCTATGTGTGTGTTTAGGGCTGGGTTTCGCTGTGTCTCGCTGTCTCGCAGACGGAACACAATTAAAGATGTTTGGAGTTTTATTTGAGTTATTAATTTAAATGTGTTGTCCAAGAGATGCTGATTTGAAACCGTTGTTACATACAGTTACGGCATTTCCTGTTTCTGCCGGAGAGAGGGCAGTTTGTCCCAAAGCTTGCTGCTGTATTTACTCCCTCCATCTGACAGGAGGGAGCCTCGTTGAGCTACGAGTGTCACTCCACGGAGTTCACTCCGTCACGGAGGGGGAGTATGTAGGGGTAGGGTGTAGGGCGTGGTTTGGGATTGGGCCTGACTTATGGCAACACAAAAAAAAACATGGGAGCGGTGGAGTGATGAGGAGGTGTCGGCGTTCTGGCGATTTACTCGGAAGGCTTATTCCGGTGTGAACCATAGACTGTATATATAAATGGAGGTAGTGTCCGTAACGTCACCCATAGGATTCTGCAGAGTTGCCGAGAAGCCCTTAAGGCCCAGATACACCGGCCAGTCACCGGAGAAGTCGCCGACGCCGACTGTTGCGTCGCCGGACTCTCNATGTGTCATTATACCATTATGGGTACACATGGAGCGACATCCTCGTGGACGGGATTTGAAATTGGATTTGATTTCTCATGGCAGTTATTTTATTTTTAAGTCTGTGTCTGTCCATTTGGGTGGTAGTACTTGATCCAAATCGTAATTTGGTTCTATAATATTAGTCCACTTTCTTATGGGAGAATGGCCAGGTTTTTAGGTCCTTGATTTCGAACATTCAATTCCTGAAACTAACAAAATTCAACCAGATCAATGGTATTATTTAATCCGGACTTGGACTAGAGGGTAAAGTAATCTTATAGGGAACAGACGGACGGTTAAGGGATAGAGGGAAAAAGGGTTCATGGTATGAAACATTACCAAGCCTGTCCCATTCAAATGAGGAACACATGTTTAGCTTGTTAAAAACAAAGTTCCGTCCATCTAATAATTACTAATCTAATATTAAAGGATTCAGAGGGAAACAGGAAGGCAGAATACAGAGTAAATCGCAGGAAAACCAACATAACAAAACAAAGAATTTAGAGCGAAGTAGAAGAGAAAAAGGCTTGGTGTGTCACATATCTCATTACAATTTTGCCACGTATTTTTCGCTTCGTTGGTTGAAAAAGACAAGTCGGCCCCCTTGGATTTTTTTAACAGCCCCTGCAGGTCATTTCATCCTGTGAGCCGGGGCCTGTTCACCCAAAAAGACCAGAACATTATTAAATTAGTTCATGAGAAACCTTTTTACCCCTTTTCCGTCTCCAGCTAGAGAAAGCAGGCACCCTCTCAGCCGGCTCTCTTGGTGAGAAAAGAGCTGACTATTCTGGACTTTGGAACTGGTCGCGATTGCAAAACCCACGCCGCGTACAAACTCAAAAAAAAGTGTTGTGAAGCCGCCCCACTTTTTATATCCTCGGATAGGCCATTATAGATTAGGTCCATTAGTCCTAGCGCAGAAAAACGCATGACGAGACTTGAAATTACTCGGGCCAACCCACAAATCGAAAACCCATCGTGGAGCGGGAAGCGGTGGAAAATGAGGATTGGTGGTCGGCGTTTCTGGCACTTACTCGGAAGGCTTCGTAGGCAGCTGCTGTGGACGGCCAGTCCCAGCAGCCTTGCTACTTGAAGGCCAGTCCCCAACTCCGTGGGTGACTACCGCCTCAGTAGTACGGCCGTGAAGTCTGTTTGCGAGTGGCCGCCGAGTAAACCCAAAGCAGAAGGAAGAAGAAGACAGTGGACCGTCAGCCTTCCATTTGCCTAACCCACCGCCCCAGGATTATCCGGCTGTGGACGCGATCTGTACTTGAGTTCGTCAAGAACTAAAAGACGGGTTCTGATGAACCTAAGTTTCTAGAAAACCCTTTGTGGGAAAAGTACTGCGTGTGAATGCGGACCTAGTGAAGGGAGGAAGAAACTGCTACCCCGGAAAACAGGATTGCAACGGGGTCTTCCACTGAAGCTCGCCGACGCTGCCTCAAAGTTGAGAAGGAGGGGCCGGTTCCGTCACGCTGTCAAAGGTGAGAAGCGAGGCCGGTCCCGTCACGTGTCTCACAAGGGTTGTGAGAAAGAGGGGGCGATCTGAGGTTTGAAAGGCATGGGGCTGTGGTAGCTGGGCGTACTGCAGTCTGATACTCACCGGTGCTCAGAAGGTGAAAAGGAGCGCAACTAGGTTGAGAAGACCTGGTGGTAGCTGCGCATGCAGTGACGGTGCCAGGTACTACCTGCGACTGCCCACGTGTGAGGGACTTCTCCTCAATCGGCAGGACGCCCAAGCAGCTAAGAGCAGCTTCCGGTGCGGGGTTTTCAGAGTAAAAGCACCAAATCGGCATTAAGGCCCAGATACACTGTAGTCACCTGAGAAAGTCGGCCGACACCGACACCGACTGTGGCGTCGCGGACTCTCCTGCGTATTTGCCGACTTCGCCACTGGAACAACACCGCCTATCCCCTGTGTGCCTTGGCAGGTCTCAGAACTGCGCATGCGTGAGTGGCAATAACTCTCCTTACCAGCAGGCGGCGGTAGTGTGTATTCATCATTCAAAAGAGGCAACAACCGGAACAACCGGAAGACAGAGAAGAAGAACAGACTCCGTGATATAAACAAACAACAAATAGCGTTTTTCTTTCCATTTTCACTCTCGTCCATTGAAAACATGAACGAATAGGAGCTCTATAAACCGATGAGGTGAAATAGCCGTCCGTGTGTGTTCCATCTTCCATTTTAAATCATTTGTTTACCTCCCTCACTTCCGTTAACGCTTCTCATGCACTGATTCGCTAGCTGAACAGCCAATCAGTGTTATCCCTTTGTCCGACTTCCGGTGGTGTTCCCATCGGCAAGAATCGGCAAGAAAAGGCGTCAGGTCGGCAGAAAAGACCCGACGGTGCGGCGCACATCACTCCGAATAGGGCGTGCCCACGCTCATGTTCGGCCCGACTCCCATTTACTGCCGATTTCGGGCCGGTGTATCTGGGCCTTTACGCCCACAATCTGCAGCATTTACACAAATTAATAGAAACACTTTCTTAGTACAACCCAAAACAGTGGCTGACAATGTGTTTTTTTTACCTTTGATGTTGCACTTGTTATTTGTTATTTAGTTTGCTATAGTCACTTTAATAGAACAACCTGTCAATTGATCAAACTGTATTGTCAATACTCTGTGACTCCAGGAATAAAAAACCAGTGAGAAAAAACACAAATACAACAAATGAATCATGTTTAACATAAAATAAGCACTGAATGATAAAGAGATCTGTTTCTAAGATTGCGTGATGTTGTTGGGTCTTGTAGTTTAAAGAAAACAACTCATCAACAGCAGTTCAAATTATTTTAGCCTTATATAGTCATAATTTTCCTATTGCTGCTTCAAATGAATTTGTATAACATGCTAACATAGATATATATTTTATTTGTATTGCTGGTTTCCTTTGGTTTTTTGACATGTCACCATGTCACAGAAAAACGACTTTCAAAACATAATGCAACACATAAAACACATTACAATTAAACTTACACTAGAGCTGCTGGCTAATGTATAATTTAACTGTTACCATCAACAATTGTTAAAACACAAATATTATTTTCGAAATGGTACAGTTTTATTTGGAGGGCTCCATGGAGGAGGTGGGCTATCTCGGAGAATCGTTTGTATTTGTCTTTCTTCTTTGTGTCTCTTCTGTTCCAGATCTTTCCGTACCTGGAAAAAAGGAAATCACTTATCAGTATTATTAACCATTCCAGATTCCTTAGATATAACCAATGCCATTTGTCAGTGGTGCCACAAGTAATTGTACTTACCAGCCAGCTTTCATACATCTCTAAAGCCATTTTATCTCTCTCTTCTTTCATGTAGCGTTCCTCCTCTGCTTTATTTTGTATTTCTTTACGCTTCATTTTCACTATTACATGGATAACATCTTTCTTCTTATCATGCCTAAAACATTTTTGGGGAAAAACAAGTAACAACAGATTAGAGGTGATATAAAATGATGAATTGTGTCTCGACATTACGCTTTGACTGCCATCTAATGGTTGATCAATTTCATCGCTAGATAGGTTTGAGTGATGGTACAATACTGTGTCACTTCTTATATTGACATACAGCTTTAAGATTTAAAAAAAATCAATTGCCTTTAGACACCAATACATTTTTTATAGTCAAGTACAGAACGACCATTCTATGACCAAAAACTCTGCAATGTTGCCATTCTAGCCACCAAGTGACAGTAGTGTGTAATGCTTTGGTAAGCGTTCTCACATTGTGCAGCATCAGTAGCTGTCGGACTGTTTTGGTTTGACTGTTTAGACATTACAGCCAGTGTTACATTCCCTGAAAAGAAAAGGATTTTCACTCACCAACCAGAAACGGCAGATTTGCTGTCATTTTTCCTTTCTTTCTCCTTTTCTTGTTTTCCAAACTGAAGTCTACTTTCAGCTTCTCTTTGTTTTCTGGACTTTTCTTTGAGGAGATGATCATGTTCGAGTTTCCATTGTTCAAACACCTGTCATTTTTACAACATGACTGATTAGCATATCTTCCCACAGAAGTGTTTGTGGTAGCTTTCAGAATAACAAAAAATAAATAAATAAATGTACCTGTTTAGCAGATTGCATTTTTTCTTGTTTTCCTTCAAGCTCTCTTTGCTGTCTCGCGATCGCATCTTCCTTTTCTTTGGCTTTTGCTTTGAGACTTTGTGATTTCTGCTTTTTCCAAGCCTCATATGATGCTACAGCATCTCCCTTCTTAGCCTCTTCTTCCTGTTTAGTATTTAAAAGATGCATATATGTTAAAATAACTTGTTTTCTTAATATTGTTCTCAAAGTTGGGTCTGCTGTATTTACGAAACTGATTATTCACCCTTTTCTTTTTCTCTTTAAGGATGTCCTCTTGCTTCTTTTGCTGCATGTTCTCTCTTGACTTTTCTTTTTTCTTTTCAAGCCATTCCTGTGAGGAATACATGTTAAAGGGGGAATATTAGTTTACATAGAATTCACTGTAGATAGACGGATAGATAGACGGATGGATAGACGGATGGATAGACGGATAGATAGACGGATAGATAGACGGATAGATAGACGGATGGATAGACGGATAGATAGACGGATAGATAGACGGATAGATAGATGTCCTTTATGGATCCAAAACTGGGAAATTCTTATGTTACAACAGCAGCAGGTTATCAAGGTCTTGGACAAAAAAAGATACGCAGTAAATATATATATTACACAGAATAGAAATGTATATATAATATGTCTATGTCTCATTCTTTATATATATATATATATATATTTAAAAACACAAAAAATATATATATCAAATTGAGCAAATGTCTTTGTTTTTTCAAAATGCAAAGAGGTAGAGTGTAATCATAACGATCAATACAGAATGAAGTATGGTTAAGAAAGAAACTGCACTGGTTGTATATATTTTTTCAACATTGAACACTTTAACATTTTCAACTGAAGCAATGTGGCTCTCAACACGGTCTCATTTTCACACTGACCTGGTAAATGGCAGCTCGGATGGAATCTGCTGTTTGAGGCTGAGACTCCTGGAGTGACACTTTACAATCCAGAAGTTTGAGCGATCCCAAATATTTTGATTCCACATTTCTGGAGCAGGCACTCTGAGATCTCTGAGTAGTCTTTGAAAGAGAACTTGATGTCCTAATTTAAATGACATGACATTAAGTTAAGGTACTACGGTGTTCTGTCAGAAAATAGTTATTTAAGTATCCATTGTTCTAGCCAACCTGGTATCAAATGATTTTTCACGGACATGAGAAGTTTGATGTGAGGCATCTCCCAATCCTGCCTGAAAGAAGATAATAGACACATTTACTGAGACTAATAATCAAAACAAGAGGCCGAGCACTTCTGACGTGTCACTTGCAACCACAGTCACACCTGATGATTAAGGACTTACATTGAACTCTTCAAATGATGTGGAGTACTTGCTCTCCTGCTCTTTGCTGTCATCAGAAATAAAGTCATCTAAGAAAAAAGAAAGAAATATGAGTAGGATTAATAAGCTAAAAATACTATTTAAAAAAAAAAAGGTTATGGTGCTGATGCTGAATATACCAGTTATTACCTCGGGATCCAGAATCAATAGTGGACTTTGAAGAGAGCTGTGACTGTTCACTCTTACTTGAAAAAGATTTGCTGAAGCTGCATGAAAGTGCGCTATCTCCTTTTGTCCACTACGGTGAAAAACATAACAACAATGGGCAGCAATGAGAAGACGTTTTAAATTCAGAAGGGACCGTTCCCCCTAAAATAAAATAATACATGTTTTTCCTTTTAACAGTAGTGCTATATGTCAGCTATCTTCTTTCTACTGAACTACAGCTGCCAACCTTACCAAAGCACAGAAGAAAGTGTGCCTCTATGTTTGCAGGTGTAGTTCGGTAGACTCACACAAAAACAATCTTGATTGATAAATGGCACTATGTAAGAGAACAAATATTTATTTTTGATTAGGGGTTGGATTGTCCCTTTAAAATACTGACTAATCAAACAATGACAGATGAGTGTCCTTACAGTGTTGTTGCTGGATGTGTCAGTGGAGAGGGGAATGGATGCAGAAGAAGTCTGGGGCCTGCTTACTTCCTGAGAATCACCACTTTCAGCTATTTTCTCCTTAGGGTGGAAGCTCAATCCGAGAGTCCTTTGCCTCGGTTTAGGCTTGGGTGGCTGCCTCTCTGTATTTAAATAATGGCAGTTTGTTAAAAAATACATTAAAAATCCTACCCAAGTCACATTTAATGTTTCCCTTGGGATTAATACTTAAAACGGTGTAAACAGACCTGCTGTTGACACGTGTGTCAGGTTATTTGCTGATAACTGCGCACGCTGGTAGCTTTCTTCCAAGTTGCTGTTTTCTTCGGGAACTGGAGTTTCAATCACACTGTTGTCAGATGGTAAGGGCAATAGCATGTCCGGTAGAGTGTCATCTGATGTTTGGAACGACAGAGATTTTACTGAGCTCTGTCTCCTGATTTCTGGATCAGCAGTCTCCCCATAACTGCTTTTATAGTTTATGTTATCTTCACTAACGTTTGTTGAGCGTTGGGTGGATAATGAGTCATTATAATTGTTATGTCGATTGTCGGAAGTGTCGGACGGATCGTTTTCTCCCAACTCTGGTGCCGTCGTTACTTCCAAGGGAGTGTCAATCCTTTTGGATTTCAGAAATGAAACTCTCTTTGTCCTGCCGTGATTGTCCTCATCGTCTGAAACCTCGAAGGTGTTGATTTTGGATTTAATCTTCCCAGCCTTAAAAGCCCTAGCCCTCTCTTTTCTTGATTTGAGGAGTTGATTTAAAAAATCTGTGTGAAAAGAAAAGGAGATGACAGGCTAGGACGAAGCAACAAACTATATCAATTGACAAATAATAACAAACAAATGTTATTTAACACTTGTGTCTTAAGAGGAAGTACAGTACATTGAATAGAACACAACTATAATTTACACAAAGACACTTAAGAGATCTAAATCTTCAGGGTCACTTGCACAATCCAAACTTATCAAGATATTTTAATGCTCAGTCTTCTTACCATCCTCATCTTCATTAAAGTCATCAGAGTAGGAGTATTGGTCTGTTTCGGTTTTGCTAGCCCTGGCAGACACAGCAGCCTGAAGTTCATCCTGCAACGCCATAATGTCAGATTAGATTCAAATTGACTTTATTGTCCATCTCACTGGAAATGTGTCTTTGGCTTCTCCAAAGTAGTCGGGGAAGAAGTATTCAGATTATTTACTTGAATAATACAATACAATAAGGATAAAAGACTCCATTACAAGTAAAAGTCCTGCATTCAAAAACGTACTTAAGTAAAAGTACAAAAGTATTATCAGCAAAATATACTTAAAGCCAAAAAAAAAAATGTAATTGTGCAGAAAAATGGACTCCATGTGTGATTTATTATTATATAATAGACATTATTAGATAATATTGTTGCATCAAGTAGCATTTTACTCTGGTAGACGAACAAAGTTCTGATGCAAAATATTGACTTGTTGGTGTATATGTTGGATATATTTGGATATTAAACAGTTAGTCCACTAGCTTTTTTGTTAGAGATACATTATATTAAAGTTCTGAAAAGTAGCTACAGATGTTTGTTTTTTGTACAGATGAGTAAAAGTCCAATATGGACCTGCTATGAGATGTATTGGAGTAGAATTCAAAAGTAGCATTAAATGAAAATGCAAGTACTTAAGTATAGTACTTCAGTAAATGTGCATATTTACTTTCCACCACTGCTCCGAAGCAACGAATACAAACCAATGAAAACATACAAATAACCAGTAAAGAATGCAACAATTCAAAGTGGGCAGGCAGAAGCAAATAAGTTGTAGTTAAGGTAACATGAGTCTTCACGACCCTCCCTGGGGGGCAGTCGGTTAAATCATGGTTTCTCATTTGGTCGGACACTGCAATGAATAAAGCTGTTACCTGGAATGTTGTCCTCCTCGATGTTTTGGGGCTTTTCGTATAAGCCAGTGTCGTGAACTGCTGATTTGTCATTCTGAAAACTATGAACAATTTCCTCTGGTCGCATTCATTGAGATTAGCATGCTAGCTAGTGCTCAACCAGTAGCTAGGTTCTCTTCTAAGTTTCCCATGCGCACGATACACATAGCTCGATTACTTGTAAGCGTTGATCATTCTGACTACCTGTTGTCTGATTACGATACAGTTATTCGGAAATGGTAGCTTCTATCGAAAGGCAGACTGTTTTTTGCTAACATTAGCTACAGTGGACTGACTGACTTGTTGATGGTAACCCTAGGAAACGAGGAGAGTCCCGTTTCTCCGTGTAACCAATGCGCATGCTCAGAAGATAGCAGTTTTGCACATTTTGTTTTGATAAATTCAGAATAAGATGAGCAAAAAACTAATGAAAAAGCATTGCAATCGCTATAATGTTCACTGGTACATACACACTGCACACCTTTTTTGTGGGATTGTAAGGTTCCTTCTATTTTACAGTCTTATAGTGTTATATATTTGTATGGAAAATGCATTGCTCTTTGTTAGATAACTCCCATTTTTTCACATTTGTTATAAATACTTACAATATACAGATCTTGATTTAAAACAAAAACAAATTCAGTTTGGTGACTCACATATGGCTGTGACTCTGGTCTCTGTGGAAAAATGCATTTTTAATGTTTTATCAAGGATTAGAAGCCAGAAAATAATATTTTCAATAACGATATGGTGTTTATCTTCCTGAATGAATGCAGGAAAGTGCAAGATGTTTTAGGTCCACTTTTATTCTCTATATATATCAACAGTTTAGGTGAAAATGTGGATGAAGCTACTTTACATTTTTATGTGGATGATACCGTGATGTACTGTGCAGGCCTCCATTCAGGAGGCTGTTGTTAAATTACAGGCTATTTTTAACATTATTAAGACTCAGCTCTCTGAGCTTAATCTTCTTTTAAATGTTGATAAAACCAAGGTAATGCTCTTTTCAAAAGCTAAAAAGACTACAGATACTGCTTTGGATATTGTTACCATGCAAGGACAAGTACTTAAAGTGGTTACCTGTTATAAATACCTAGGTAACTGGCTTGATGATTGTCTTACTTTTAAACTTCAGGTCATTAATCTGCTTAAAAAGCAAAGTGTTAGACTAGGTTTCTTTTTCAGAAACAAGTCCTGTTTCTCATTTGAAGCCAGGAAAAGGCTGTGACCTTTTTACCTGTGCTGGACTATGGTGATTTGATCTATATGAATACACCTGCCCATTGCCTGGAAAAGTTAGATGCCGCCTATCACAGTGCTCTGAGATTTGTTACTAACTGTAAAGCACTTACTCATCACTGTACCCTGTATGCCAAGGCAGGTCTGCCTTCACTAACTGTACGGAGGCTCAGTCATTGGTACATGTTCATTTACAAAGCCATGTTGGGTAAACTACCTTTTTATATCTGCTCTCTGATCTCTCAACGAATGGAAAGTACGTATTGCCTGAGATCTCATGATGTTGTTTTATTAAATGTGCCAAGTGCTAGGACTGTCTTAGGGAAGAAAGCTTTTAGTTGTGCAGCTCCACTAACTTGGAACAGTCTGCAAACATGTTTAAAACTGAGCACTTTGGTTCCCCTGCATCATTTTAAAACTTGGCTGGGTGACATGCTGTTTGATACTCATGGTACCTGTCACTGTAAATAGAGTTTGTAAACTGTACCCTGTACATTATGTTGTATGTCATCCTTATTGTTGTTCTGTTGTTTTTATGTTACATGTGTAACTAATGTCCTGCAGGTCACCTT